TCGAAACATAGTGCATCCTTGAAGTTCTTTAAAACCCTGTAGAGTTCTTTGTAAAACCCTGTAGAGTTCTTTCACAGGGCCAAAAATTTTTCTGAGTATTTTCATCCAAAACATGTGTTGTGAGTGTTGGACGTCTTTGTTATAGGTTTATGTTTTATTTGTTTAAAGTAAATAAGGGGTTGTATTGTATGTATATTTCAATATTGTCCTGATAATAGATTCCATTTGTCTTTCCAGTCTGAAGAAACATTTATAAACTATTTTGAATCCGATTTCTGTTTCAAGCTTTTTCTTATCGTTAACTATTATGTCTAAGCAGTTAAATTCCTAAACATTTTTAAAATCTGCAAACCATTAATGTGCATTCAGTTGCTATAATTTACCATGAAAGTGATCAAATTTTGTTTTATCTTCTTTGATCACGAAGTCCATTTTTATGGCGGAAGATTAAAAAGCTGGAAGAGCCTCGATTATTTTATCGAATAAGTTTCCCTCTTGTTTCAATATATATTTTAATTAAATAATTATTTGTGAATTGACACTTTATTATAGCAAATTAATAACAATCACACATGTTTATAATTTTTCACGTTTGCTAGATGGCTGGCATTTAAGAATGAAACGTGTTTCTTACTCTATTCATTACACATTTTATTTGTATGAGTTAAAAACTACATAAAAAATTTTAATTATTCGAAAATGCACTAAGATTATATATTTTTGAGCGTATGTGTTGAATATAATTTACAGGGCACATTTGAGCTTTGAAGGAAAATGACTGATAAATATATTTTCTTTGTGGCACTTTTAAAGAGTTTATACAAATAAAATAATGATTCTTTTGCGTGGTTCAGGCAATAAAAGTTCTGTTTGCTCAACCTGTTTTGTTTACCACGGGAATGGTAAATGTTACGACTTTTCTCTCATTAATTTTGCTAATAAACTTGTCACTCCTGACACAAATAAATTAAATTTTACTATAATACCGTTCATTATCAACACGGCATTCAAAGTATTATTTGCTCTGTATCAATATTGTTTTAGTAAGTTCATATTAGAATGTTGTTTTGGCATTTCACACAGAGATAAAATATTTATTGGAAACCTTGTTTCATTTAAATTACAAAGGAATTTCATTAAGAAGAAAAAAAATAGTAAGTCAGTGCAAATATTCCCACGGAATACTTAATAATATGGAGAAATTACAGTGTCCCCCCATAAAAAACAGGAAAAAAGCGCACTTTCCAATTAAAAATACTGAAAATTAAATTTTTCAGATTTATAATGTGCTGCAGCCAGGTTTTAAAAGGGTTTTCGTAGAAAATATGTAGACATAAATAATAATCTTTATTTGTCATCTTTTTTCGTGTTCTGTAAAAATTTTAAGGTTTAAAATTTTAGCTATAATTTATACAATGCTTTAAATATTTGTATTTTTAAACTTTAAAATGTTTATTATGGTTTTAAAATTTACTTCTAATATTAAATTTTCTCTTTCGTACCTTTAAAATTCAATTCTTATTTTTTCTATATCATAATTGAAGAGCTTAATGGAGGAACTGGTTAGGTGACAATTAAAAAAAAAAAATGAAATTGATGCTAAAGAAAATTTTTATTTAAGCTTTATTTAAATATATAACATTAATTTTTATTGTTTAATCTGATCATTCCAAAGATACTCAGTGAGAGAAACGGCTAAGTGACATAAGAGTATTCTTTGTAGGGAAACACCGGCTAAGTGATTTGGCAACAATCCCAGAAAATCTCTTGCTTGGCATCAAAAGCTACGGCGCGGGGAAAAAAATGTTGAAAGTGAAAAACTTGATACAGCAGCATCCATATATCAAAGAGGCATTTATATTTTTTTATGAATCAATAATTTAAAAATACAAGAAAAAATATAGCCCTTAAACAGATTTATTATTGAATTTTTTTGTTTCTGGTTCACATTAGTTTGTGTTTCAGACACAATGACCTGGTAACGAAATCCAATTTCTCTTTTCTAATTAAAGTCATGTCGCAAACAAATATTTTTTTATGCGTAGGCAACTTTTTCAATTTATTATTATTGTTACTAGCATAATACTCGTTTCTCCTTTTGAAGTAAAAGATAAAAATCAATAAATCGGCAATGATAAACACTACGAAATCATGACAAAATTGAAAGAGATATGCAGACGTAATTAACTAAATAACTTTGAAAAAATACCAATAATGCTCAATTAATGTTGGTAATATGTATTAATGGAGATAAAAAAAAGTAAGCTTCAGTGAGGGACAATTTTTGCCCTTGATTCATAAATTTAATCAAATTAATTTAATTTAAAATTTCAAATTAAATCGTGAGGAAGAGCCCTTTGAAAAAGGAAATTTTTTTATTTGAAAAGCTTTAGACTTCATTTTAAATTAAACTACAGATGGTTTTTTCCATATACTTTAGGGATAACATCAGTGACTATTGAAAACTTATAGATCTATTTCTCTATTTGATTGCAAGTACTTTAATTGTTCATTATTCTAATTCGCTGTGTTAGATAAATTCAACGATCAGTGTAGAGCCCCTAAATTGGACCTGATTTGACCCTGATGATAGTATAGGAGCCTTAGCATGGGCTGAGTACGTAATTATATTAGTTTTCCCAAAGTTATCTGAAACCATGTACAGTTCGCAAAAAAAAAAAAACGAATCACCCTGAATAACTTTCGTTCTAATGATCGGATTTTCACGAACTAAGTGTCAATCTTAATGGTTCCTGGGGGTGACCTCAAATATGCTAATTAATTAGTGCTAACTATTAATTAAGTTACGAAATCAGACACAAAAACGTACTTTCTCTGAATAAACATATA